ACATACAGAATCAGTGCATTAAAGTGAGAGGACTGTGAATTATCTTGTTGTTCTTGTTTTAATGTCCCATAGTTCTTTAAAAATATTTAAAAGTTCTCTTTATAATTAATTATAGTAGATATTATTATTACATATATAATATAAAATTTAATATATATATTTAACAACTGAACTGTACTGTACGAACAGACGAGACGCTATAGCTTAAAAAGTACGTAACTTGCTTCACCTTGTTGTTATCGTAATTGTTGTTGGTTTTGTTATTGCGGTTGGGTTGGGTTCAGTGCTTTTTCATATCAATAATCATTTTTCTTTTCATTGTTGTAATAAAATTTAAGACGCGACAGCGGCAGCATCATCAGCAGGTAGGCAAACAAGTTTTTGCGTCTTTTAGACGGCCTGGGAAGCAGCATATGGAGCTTGTGTAGAACTGTCGTTGCCATACGCTGAACGTGGTCCGGCCCCGTAAGTGGAAGCACCACCCTCTTGTTTCACATAATTACTATAGTCATAGTCATAACCAGATCCATAACCACCATAATCATATTCTGAACCCGATTTCGAAGCTGAATTACCAGGACCGGTGCGTGGTATTCCACCAACCGGGCCGCTAGTAGATGGTCCACCAGCAGCCCAAGTTTGGGCACGTGAATACATATCAGTTGCTGTACCGGCACCACCACCTGGAGCTCCGGTTGGCCCAGCTGAATTGGGCGGCATATTCCAGGCGTTCCAACTGCCGCCACCTGATGGTCCGGAAGGACCGCCAGTCGAGGTGGAATTGTACATATCATAACCACCATAACCTTGCGTCTGTTGTGGCCCCGCATAATTGGACCATTGTGGTGGAGGACCTTGGGGACCAGGTGGTGCACCCCAGCCCTGATATGAGCCCGGACCGCTGTTGCCATAACCATAACCGCCTTGCTGCGGTGACGTTCCCCAGCCCTGATAGCCTGGCATCATGTTTGGCGCGCCGATTGGCATATTTAATGGTGGTCCACCCATTTGTCCATTTTGCCCCTGCATCATATTAATTGGTGCATGAGGTGGGCCCCAATGGCTGCATTCATTGGCTAGTTTACTGTAAGCACCTCCTACAGTACTGTTGTTAGCGTTTTGGCCGCCGGATCCATCACGGGGTTCAGCTTTTTTGATTTCAACCTACCCAAATGCAAAGCAAAATGCGATGAAATTACATCATATAACCGAAAGAACGTAGATTCATAATCTCTTACGCTAGTGAAAAATATAATCACTTGTAACACCCAACGTAATACGGCGTGCGTTAACTTGGCCGATATTTTATGACAAGAATTGCCACATCTTTTACTTACGCCTAAAGTTCTAATTGTCGTTATTTGTGAAGCATATTATTTAAAATAATTTTGTTACACATGTTGAGATTATAAAGCATTGCGGCCGGTTAAGGTCGACCGTCAAATGCCCTACATCAGTTCGCCTATTGTAACGATATTTCATTAAATTTCGTATTATAACAGATTTCTTAGAATATTGCATTATATAGAGAATGGTAGCAAAACTGATCCGATGCGTCCCCTCTTTAATTAAGTTGGTCCTTGAGCACATGTACTAAATTCCGTCAAAACATATTAAACACTACGCCTTGTACGTTGGATACGAAAATCCATGAAAAAAACACTAGATGGATTAATAGACAGGCGAACTGAGGTTTACTTAGAATGTGATTCTGTATCTATCGGCATAATAAATTATGGATCCATATTAATTTCTCGCACGTGTTTCTTACATCCGCACGAATCTAATATACCTGGTACCACAAGTAGTGTATGATGTATAAAGCTACAACCGCTTCAAATCAAATCATTGACGTATAAGTGAAGAATGGTGTGTTTTCTTAATTGCTGGTATTTCAATGAATCAAGTTGTTTACACCTAATGTCGTATTAACATCTGCTATCGGTTTATTAAGTTGTTGATGCAAACATTGTTTGCTTCAGATTTATTCCCGTTGTCCTGGTGGGAAATATCCCCATATGTTTCAGCGATTATTCGGCACGAAGAAAGACAGGACGAATGGCTGAAATCAATTAGATCAGCTCAAAATTTCATTGCGCCATCTTTGGTGCATTTTTCGAAGTGATGAAAACGCAAAGAAAGGGCGGCTGATACTGTACCTATCAACGGTCAATGTAAAATAAAGAAGCTTATCGGATTCAATTTTCGGATTCAGCCTCTCTTAGTGAAGTTTCTTTTGTTCATCTCACTTAATTAAATACGTGCTTTTGACGACATTATATACCTTCTGGTTTATCTTTACTTCTTCTTTCATTCTTTCATTTTCAAAAACCTATTATACAGCTTAAGCTATATGTATAACTGCTAGTTCAACCATGTGCTTTTTGTTCTTTTTTTGTTTTTTTTTTCGACAAATAATTTGTGGTTATAATTTCTAAGAACAGGTAGATGATTTAATGCAAATGTGCAATTTTTTAAACTATTATATTTAACTATTTTATATTTAAACAAAGAATCTTTATTCTCCTGTACTTACCTGTTTGCCGTTTAAGTTAATATAACGTTCATTAGTAACATGCTCAACAGAAGATTCTTCTTCAAATGACAAAAACCCAAAACCGCGTGATTTCTTTTTTTCCTGATCGTACATAATTACAACTTCTGTAACTTTGCCGTAACGCCCGAAAAATGTTCTCAGATCGGTTTCGGTTACATTTGATGGCAAGCCTCCCAGGAATACCTTGTAGCCACCTCCTTTTTTAGGCTTTTGCAGAGTACGTGGATTGCATGGTTTCGGATCAATTGTCCGACCGTCCAAAGTGTGAGGACCGCTCTGTAATACGTGCTGGACATTAGCAGGATCGGCAAATGTAACAAAGCCAAAGCCACGAGATCGTCCACTTTCATTGTTTTTCATAACGACGCAATCAATAATATCGCCAAAACGGCAGAAATAACGGGAGAGATTCTCCTGAGTTGTTTCCCAGGACAAACCGCCAACAAACAATTTACCCCTCTCGTCTTCCTCCATGTTTTTCTGAGGAGGGCTCTTCTTGTTAATTGACGTAATTTTGCTTAGAATTTGGATGTAAATTTGCCGCAAATGCAACAATTGTTGATAGATATCGCTGCTTTGCGTGTTTTTATCTGCTGGTTGTTGCTGTGGTTATTCTACTACAGTTGTTGTTGTGTCCTATCGTACAAATTCAATAATTATAGTTATATATTGAGCGCCTTATGTTTTTATTTAATAATACAAAAATAATTTTTGGCCAATACTTTGTAATAATTTGTATAACAACGTGTTATGTCTACTACAAGAAAAGTCACGACGTTGACACGTAATTTTCTAAATATCAATGAAACAATGTAGAAATAAAAAAGAAAACAAAGAGGGGTATGAAATAAACCGATGTAGGGAGCGGAGGAAGTATTTGCAACACTTTAATAAGGGATTATCAAGAATACTTTTATAAAATTAAAACAAAAAAAAAAGACGATACCTTTCGTTTTTTGCTTTCGCCAAATTTAGGACACTAATTTCATATTAATTATCAAGCGAATTGACAAAGAAAATGCCGCAAGCATAATAGGTCAATTCAATGGAATCACAAAAATACTTCTTAATAACTAACATTGAGGCACTTTCTTAGTTATCTCCTGCTTTACTTTTTCGACATATGTGAGAAAATCGGAATAGCATTTAGCAAGCCATCACATTCCCAGCGTATTATGAACTTCTTCGATGTACAGATTTTTTTTATAATGATTGATAATAGGGAAATGAAAGCTGTAAACAAGTGCAACGAAATGATTAAGAATAAAAACCGGTGAAATTATGTAGAAAACACCACAAAAAAGAAATTACTACTTTTATGGCTCCTCTCAATACTAAACATTATTAGAGTGGTGAATTGTAGTTATTTCAATGTTGCCATCCTTTTTATTTAAAATAAGTTTTCCTTCATAAGGAGACAAAAATTTTTATGAAACCATCGATTGGCGGTAAAGGATAAGGATAATGGTCATATAGTTGCGGTCCAATGCAGTTGGCATTTGTTGACGGCAATTTAAAAAAATTTCGTTTCCGCCGGTTCCTTTAATACTTGTTGGTATTCGAAGTCATTGCTTTATTAGCTAATGTACCGGAATTTTGACACATATTGATTTTATTCTATTTATCTACGTGTATATGCATTTAACACTTGTTGGTGCTGGAAGAATTAATATTAGATATCTGGCAACGACATGATATAACTAAATATTCACCACAACTTAACTTATCCCTCTCCCAAATACACAAACAAATAAAAAATAATTAAGAAACAAAATGGATGACGACCAAGAAATGTGACAATCATGTACAAAAAACCCAAATTCAACGAAAGAATTTCTTTAGCACGTACATATAAAGGAATTGATTTACTTTTAAACACAAGCAAATTTAGTTAGGTTTCTAGACTTTTGGATTTATCGTTAACGACTTGTTACAAATTAATTCTTGGTCGTTGACAAAAAAAAGGGGGGAGCGAGCGATACGAGATTTTGCTGCGTAATGGAGCAATCCGCTGTTTTTGTCGCCATTATTGAATGTTATATTAAAAAGATATGGAATATCTCTTTGCGGTATTTATGAGGCTGTAAAACACTTTTTTACTGATTGTCTCTTTTAAGACGATGAATGAATGGTTAGGTAGACGCGCGTATAGCATGTAATTGATATAAGAGATATTAACAAAGACAAACATTGAAAAATATGTGTGGATGAAGTACACAAATCTCTATGTTCGCGCATTTCTTAATATATACGCATGCATATATACATACATATATAAGCATTTTTTTGCTTCTTGTTTTTACATTGTATTTTTTGTTACAGACTTGTATGTGTTGTGCCTACATATTTTAGCCTTTACTTTTCAACTAACAACGATAACGAACTACATACTAAATGAATTTGCTGTAACTATACACAGCATTTTGTATGTATAAAATGTGAAAAATTTTCACTTTTCACACACCAGCACTCAATATACGCAGAGAAACAATGAAATCGTAATTTCGATTTGCCATTCATTTTGTTTTATATTACAAATATAAGAGAATCCCGTCAATTTACTTTTATTTTTTGTTAATATTATTCCTACCATGTGTTCGGTACACCCAATTTGCAAAAACATTCTCAAAATTGGTCGCATAAATATAGACATATTTCCATGTTTTTTCTGTTATAAAAAAATTGCGTATTACATTTTCCCGTGATTCATTTTCTTTTTCTTTTCAAAAACCGATGAGTACGTTGCACATATAAATATTTTGACCCAACGACCGCACAAACGAGGTGCTCCGCAGCACCATTTTTTTCTTTTTTGTTATATGTGTACAAACACACAAATTCGTTATGTAAATTTATTAATAAAAATGTTTAAAAAATTAACAAAAATTTTATCCTCACCGGTTTCGCCAAGTGTTCGTCTGTGGAAATCTCAAAGTTTTCGCACTGCAAATTCACTAAATTTAAGTTTTTCCTTAAAAAACTAGCTTATAAATAATTTTATGATTTGACGATATAACCTAACTTAACCATGATAAAATGAATTTCGACAAAATGCTTTGAACTGAAAAGGCTGTTTTGCTTTAGAGCATGTGGTGAATAACAGACCGCTATACAAAACATGGTGAACTATTATACTCGTTCTCACTTCGCCTTAGACATATAGGCCGAACAAAGAAAGAAGACTACAACCATCTTGACATATATTTAGCACTTTCGCACCAGTATATCTATCATATGTGAAAATACTTTTAAAAAGAGTGCCACGTTATTGCTAGTACTGCCAGACGTTTAGACACTGCATTATTTGTAGGAATGCTATTAACTACAAACGGATTTTGGAAACAATTTTCAATAAAAAGTTGAAGTATAAATATCGAATAGGTGATGTGAACGTTGATTTGGATTAACTAAAATAATTCGAAGTTTGAATACTTCTGCTTATACACATAACTTTGAACGTAAAAAAAAAAATTATAAATAAATCAATCAAATATTTATATAAATGAAAAATAAATATAATATAAATGAAAAATAAAGGTTTTCCTTTCGTTTTCGAACCATCAGGCTAGGAGATACAATGGAATTAAGTATTTCAAGAGCCAGCTTTATAGAAACGTAATGTGTGAGTACACTGTTATTTTACAATCTACCTCTCACATTCCATTACCACTTAAGGAATTAGGCAACAGATGTGTATCATGAGTATAGAGATGTTATTTATTTTGTCTTAAAAAAAAAAGCTACCGCTACTGGTGGGTTCGTTGCTAATTCTATTGCTGCTATCTCTTCGCTTAGTGAAATACGTATTTATTCCCTCTGAACTCTGTGAAGTGCGCTGAGTCACGCCGCTTCCTACTGACTACTTAGAACAGGAATTCCAAAAGGTTTGGATACTTGCCTAATGACTGCAAAATTGCTAAGGTTGCGTATGATTTTACTTGCAATATTCACATTAACTTGACGCTATGCGCATGAACTTTAATGGAAATGTCTTGCCTTCCTTTATGAATTGTGAGAGCAAGAGGAAGAATTGAATTTTAAAATATTTGACGATCCGTAAATTGTGTGAGCAAGAGGAAGAACTGAAGTTTAAAATATTTAACGACCCGTAAATTATGTGAGCAAGAAGAAGAATTGAATTGTAAAATATTTGACCAGCAAGATAACATCTATTTCTTTTTTGAAGGTTTTCCTAATGACAGTTAAATTGTATCGTAAAAACATTAAACCGGAATCCATTGGCATTATAACACCGTACATAACTTTCGCAAAATTACACTAATGTTGGACTAGAGTTACTTTCGCTTGGTTTTTTTTAGCAGCGCGATATAATATTAATTTCAACAGTGAGTTTCATTCAACACGAGAAACGGATTAACGTCGCGATAACTCGACTTCGTTGTCTCCTTATTATATACGGCAACCCTTACATACTCCTTTTTGATTCTCATTGGCGCACGATCATAAATTACTGCATCGATAATGATGCCTACCTCCGGCAAATATGTGTGACTTAAGACTACTATCAGTTGCACAGTTTTGACGCCATTTAGCCTCCAACTCTTGTACCGAAGATAATTGAATTACTTTTAATTATTTAATAAATATAATTTTACTGAATAGTCAGTCCTTAACATTAATTAATAAATAAAAATAAGACTATTTTTTCATTTTCTCATAAAAATTAATGAATTTTTTTAATATGGATTCAAACGAACAATGATTAAGTTTACAGGTCTTCCTTGAGATTTTCTATGCAATATTTTATTATAAACGTGGTTGCAAAATGGTTTTTAAATTATAATTGAGATGCATAAATTTAAATAATTTCATGCATTACTTGGAGTCGCTTTCTAGTAATGAACACACCATCTCTGCGAGTAGACAACTCATGTAGAAACCAACACCTATTTATTGAGAACTCTTCACGATCTTTGAAACGCTGGAAACGAACAAAAAACCAAACTAAAATCATGTATAATAATAGTTCTGGGATTACAAATGATTAGTTTAAAAAATGCAATTCTAAACATTATTTCAAGCTTCGCAACATGGTTTAACATTGTATAAGACGTTGTGGTAACAAATAATAGTAATTGATAGCCCTCCGCCCTTTCATTGCGAGGGGGGCTTCTCCTTGACCTGTAAAACTTTCAATGAAATATTTCTAGAACATCCCAATTTCGAAGGGAAGCATTAGGGACCTTCCATACATACGTCTATACACCTGAATCTGAAAAATAAACTTTAAAGTTTCACTGCGGTAAATGCATTTATTTCCCTACATATCCTATATTTTGAATACTTATTGCTTTCTTCTTTTCTTTTTTACATATGCTAGGCTAAAATTAGGCTTAAAAAGTTCAAGTTTACTGTGCCACAATTTCTGCACCTTTTTTTCTGGTTTTCTGATGCTTTTTATGATTTACACAAAATTTCTTTATAATAGGCGATAATTGAAAGGGATGCATAGCCGTCGCTCAAATTTGGTATTACAAAAATCACTTCGAAAAACAGTAAACATAAAATGTTTATTTGATCTTGACCTGGCGCCACGACTTCGTGCTCTGCACAGTTATCAAAATAACCGTATACGCGTCAAAAAGTTTTTTTTTTAAAGTGTGATCAAATGTAAGGTACACATAAATGGATGGTATTCTCTCCATATTGTCTCAAATTTCTAAACTAATTACTAAACGTCCAGGTCGTAGTGCAGCTGGTTCTATCTTTAACAAGAAATTTGCTACTTCTTAGCTGAAAAATGAAAAAAAAAGTAAATAAAACATAGAAAAAAGCTAACAATACTCAATGAAAGTAACAACGATATAAAAAACCAAGAAAAATATTTTAAACACTTAAATAATAAAACTTGGTCTCGAAATATGATAAAATTCACAAAAAAAAAAAAAAAAAAATAGAAAAATAAATAAAAATATATTTGTTATTAACCAGCAACAACAGTGCGTCAAACAAGTAATAATAAACCCCAAAAGTAACAAAAAATAAGCAAGGCGGACGCAACACGTGCTAGTTTCACCAAGTAAGAAGATAGGCACTAATTATATCTCTTTTAGGCAACTAATTTATGTATAACTTTTACCATTGGCTTACTATTGGCTTAGTCCATCTCTGTTCAACATACCAAAAAAAAAAAAAAAAACTTTTACCATCCGAAATTTATTGCGAAAAAAGAATGGCAAAGTAATAGGCGAATTTGACATTTGCTTGCTTACAATGACACAATGAACAACAAAATCATACAAACGTAAATAAAAACAAAATTATAGGAAAATTTTTTGTCGAAAAAAAACGAAGTGAATGCTCAGCACATTTATCAGAAAAAACCAATTAAGAATTGCAAGTAATGGATTGCGTTGTTTTCCGAACCGGCGCGCATACTTACGCGTATGAAAATTACACATGTGTGCTCGTGCCTGAACGTAACTTTAAAATTTTTGTGTGCGTGATTTTTGACAAAGAAAACGAAGCACGCAGGGAGATGTTTATAAAAATCATCTTTAAGAAAATCATATGGTTGTATATGCTGTGAAAAACAACTGGAAAGAAAAAATGCAGCAGAATTAAAAGCTAAACAAAATTAAAAGTTGAACTAAATAATAAAAATAATATAAATAAAAACTTGGACTAAACTGAATAAATTGCAAAAATTACATTTCAAAGGGAATTTTGTATTTTACACTGTATTTTTTTTTATAACGCGGATCATCATCTGTTGTTCATTCGCTGAATACTTAAGAAGAAGAAGAAGATATTCCAAAAAATCAAATCCATGTCTTTCAAACTTGAACAATTAAGGTGTGTACAAACATATATGATGATCGTTAGTTATGCGATTAAACTATATTTTACTTTAAAAGTAAAGAAAAGCTACTGCAGGCAGTGCGCATAAAAAAGCAATGCAATGCTCGTGCGCAGCTGATAGTGGAATCTTTATTGGAGCGCTACGTAAGCGAAGATGACTTCCTACGAAAGGTGAGCCATGAATTGATTATTTTCAACCAACCAAACCTTAACGTGTATGTGTACTGACACTAGCTACCGGAGATTAATCAATGCCACTACAATGATGTTGTAGATGAAAGACATATTTTGCATTTATGCTCATATCCTCTGTGTGGCGAAATTATAGAAACGTGAGTATCAAAACTTTTATATATTCTCCTTACTCCATCATATATTTTTTTCAGGGTACCACAACAACAATATCAGATTTCAACGTTGACTAATAAAGTTTACGACATAACAGATCGTAAAAAATTCTGCAGCCCACATTGTTTCAAAGCTTCGGAATACATAAAATCACAAATGCTCACAAGTCCTCTTTGGTTGCGCCATCAAGAAATAATACCAGCTTTTAAAGTGCTTAAGTAGTGAATGTCTCCAAATAAAATTAACTTGTTCTGGCTGGCTGCTTTACTTTCATTGTAAATTAATTTTATTTATAATGAGTTCGTACCATGTATATCTGTTTTATTTATGCTGCGGTGGGTAATTTATATCATGACAATGTTATTATCACGTTCGAAAGCACGATCGACTTCTCGTTTGGTATCTTCGTCGGTCCACTCTCCACATTTGGCTAAAATATCCGGCTCATCTTCCGGTTCTTGCTAAAAATTTATGTCACCAAAATATATATACAAAAACAATTATAAAAAACAAAAAAAGGTTTATTCAATAGTTATTCTGTGGGTTATATATTGTTGTTTACAAATACAGCAAAACTGCTTCTACAAAAGCCCCTAGCAGCAGTATCAAATTAAATATGAGGGATAACAAAGCTGTATGTTTTGAATATCCGCAGTTTAATATAGATAAATGATAATCATAACTTGTTTGTGAATCTTTATGGCGCCGTTTAAGTGTATTTCAAAAGAAAACACATTAATTATTTTAAATATTTCGGGAAAATTTGAAATCTATATCTCTTTATGTCCAACGAATGAGGTTTTTAATTTATATATTAAAGTTTTTCCAATTGGTGAGAACATAGAACAACGCGGGAATATTGTTAAAACGCCAGTAATTAAAATGTTTTATGTTGATTGATGTTGGAGAGAGAAAGATGGCAAAATTAAGGGGTTTTTGCTCTACGAATCCGAAAGCAGACGGAACCTTGTGTGTTGTGTGGCGTTGTAATAAAGCATTATACCTGTTTGTCGTTGGCCGCGAGTTTAGAAAACATATTGGCATAAATCTTCTTTTCTTTGTCGTTAGCTTCTTTAATTTTACGCTTGCATAGTAATATCTGATTTTGGGCAGCTTTATTTGAAGGATCAAGTTGCATAACATGTTGGAAATCACTTAAGGCCTCCTCGCATTCGTTAATAGCTAAATTACATTGACCGCGGCGATACAAGATTTTTATGTTCCTTGGTTCCAATTCCAATACTTCGTTACACTGAAAATTAAACAAACTTCACTAATACACTTTCTTTAGTATTTAAAACAATTACCGCTTGTTTGCCAGCATGTTCTTGATTAGTTTTCTGATAACAAAGCACTTGATTGCTGATGGCAGCGACTTTTACTTTATTGCTTTCATTGTCACCTGAAATATTGGGGAAAAAAAAACTTATTATGAAAAACGTTTGTTGCTTGCGCAGCTAACAGAAAAACATACTATTATTTTCCAAGAAGCTGACACACTTTTTATACATTTTTATAGCTAAAGGATAGTCCTGCTTTTTAAAATATGTTGTTCCCTTTTCTTTGTAAATCTTCGCTTGTTCCAGACGTTCGTTATCACTTAGTTTCCAATCCTCAAGACCCTTAGGAGAAAATTGATAAATATAAAATTTATTTTTTTATTTTGTTTAATTCATTTGTTGAATTCACGAACCTTTTCGCAATCTATTAATTTAATTGTGTACTCCACGGTAGCATTTGGTGGAATGTTATGTTCAGGGCAACCTTTTATGCCAAAAGCATATATCGGCTTAATTTTAATTCTTAAAAAATCATTCATCAAAAATTTGGTTTGAGCAAAATCTTTCAAAACATTAATGCCTTACTTAGCCACCTCTCCTATAACCATTTTACCAACGGCTATTTCAACACCGTCTAAGATATCAGCATCGCTACCTTCGCCAAACACGAATTGTACCTCGCGATCTTCGTAAACATTACCGTCATATTTTCCAGTAATATGAACTGAAAATAATCAAATGATGAATTACTAAGGTATAAGGTTAGCTTTTAAATTTTTTGGCCACGACATGTTCCTCCATTTACAAATATTTTCATTCTCATTAACTATAACTGATTGAGTTCGTAATACAGCAACGCTTCACATCACTAACACATTTCTAGAAAATTCCATGACATGTTTTTTATTCCGTAAAATCGAATTATGTACTTTAATACATGTAAATGGTCGTATTTGGCTTCTGTTACCTTTGACCGACGAGCCGTCTTTTGGGGATCGACGTTTATCGCTTTTTTCCAAAACATAGTATTCAATACTTTTGTCTTGTTCTGGGCTTATATCTTTACCCTTCCAACCCAACATTTCCAGCTGAAAATAAACATCAAAAATGGGAAATAAATATTTACAGCATAGTTTTGTTAACCCTTAAAGCGAACCTCAAAAATTAATGTAGAATTCGGCGGAATACTAGGAGGACTTCCCGCAGCACCGTAGGCATAATTGGGGGCACAAGTTAGGTAACATTTTTCACCTAATTTCATTGTAGCTACACCCAAATCAAAGGCCTTGATCACACTGCCTGTGTAAGAAACGATGAAAATCAAGATGTAGGAATTATCATAGCATTTTACGTTCTAGTACCTTTGCCTAATTCAAATTCGAAAGGTTCTCCACGATCTACACTGGAATCGAACACCGAACCGTCCGTTAAACGGCCTGTATAATGTAATGACACGATGCACCCAATGCATGCCGTTTCATCTCCATTACCTTCCTTAAGTATTTCTTTCTGTACTCCACCATCGCCCGAAATATCAATTTTTTGTAATTCCGTTGCCGTCATTTTCGCACAATTTTCCTGTTTTATACACGACACACGACGTCAGAGAAGCAAACTTTTTTATTCTTCTTCTTTTTAAATCAGCAAATCCAACAACAATATGTAAAGTAAATTTTACTCTCAGAAATAAACTTTACTCTCAGAAAAATCTATACTAAACTCAAAAGAAATTATGCCAGTTTCTAGGGTAAGCAATTGTAGCGATTACCTTTAAAGTGTGGATGTGCATTTTTCGATACCATGAGGAAGCGTCCATCATCAAAGTTAATCTATAAGAAAATATTCGTCATGACTTCAACCAATCCCGTAAAAGGACGAAGTACATCAAAACAAGCATTATTTTGGCTTGGTATGACATCTATGTCGAACGACAACATTCAAAATATTAGATAAGATAAATATGAAATTCTAGGAGTTAAAGTATCTCTACATTTAGTACTTTTGCGCCTATCTACACGAATCAAAAATAAAAAAGAAATGATCTTTCAATTGAGCTGGGAGAGTCTTCCACATCGGGCGGCTCTTCAAATCAAGTCCCTTTTGATTATTACTTTCTTAGATTGGTGCAGTGACATTTCGTAGACCAGCAGTTTATAGAGGTTGGAGATGAGCCTCAAAACCACCACGTCCCTACCGCAAGTTTCTCTAGAGCTACCTAATAAGTGGTAAGAGGATATAGATAGTGATAATCGATATTTCAATTGTCAAGCTTTGTAACAAGAATACTTTTGAAAAACATTTGAAATTTATTAAAAATGTTTATACACCTAACATTGTAAAGGACAATTTTGGGAGAAATAAAACAAGTTTTAATAAAGCGATTACGTGGAATGCAGTCTTGCTTTACAAAGTATACGTACATATGTGTAGATATTGTAATAGATACCTAAAAATTGAAATGCAGTCCGTCGTTCTTTTCTTATTTTTATCATCATCAATAAATAAAAAAAACTTAATGGTTATTAATTTTGTGGCTTTGTATACATTATTCAAAAATTGTGCAACTAATTACGACACACTGTTTTTTCTAGGGCAAATTTACAAGTTAAGAATCTTGCTGGAATATCCAGATCGTTATATTTTTTTGCAGTCATTGTTGTAGCTAAAACGTTACAAAGAAAATTTCTTCAAAGAGTTATTATTTCAAAAGTTTTCTTACGACTTACATGCTGTGAGTTTAAAAAGCAAATCTAATAAAAAATAAAGAGTAATAAACTTTGTGTTTTGCCGAGTGTAATAAATTAAACGATTCCCCTATATTTTCTGCATATTATTCTTGTTATCTAAATTGCATAAACTTGTGACAAGTTTTCGAAATTGCGATAATTGCAAAAACCTATTTGAATCTTTTATTATTCTTGCTACATGCACACTTTTAGTAACAAAGTAGTTTTATAAATTCACAAATTAGCAGAAAATATTCTTAGAAGTTGGCAGCTCTACATAACTGGCGAATGTCGACCTATAGAGTGAAATGAATTTTTACGATTTTCACGACGGAATAAATTAATTTAAAAAATAGCAGAGAAAAATAGATTTAAATACAACCAGAATCAATCAAAGGCTGCAGTGAAGAAATACCTAAGGAATAAGAAAAAAAGACAAATATTTTTCAAAAACGAGAAAACGTGCAAAATTTAGAAACTTTCTTGCCTGAATAAGAAAAAGGCGACGAGAAAGAAAATTGCAAAAAAGAGAAGTATAAACGAACAAATAAAACAGAGCAGCAGCAGACCATCGAAGAAAAGCACAAAGGCACAAGTAAATGTGTAACGAGTGTACCCGCGAGTGACGAATAACGATTATTTGTGCGTGATTTTGGGGTTGAGAGATATTTATACTGGTGTTGTGTGCTGCTGCCGCGACAGAAAAAAATACTTTTCGGTGTTGGAATCGGGAGGCCAATGCGACTAGCAACCTGTTTTTTAATAAGAAAAAAAAAATATTTTTTCTGCATCATAAAACAGACTTAAGCTACCAACTTAAAAAACTCATTACCAGTAAGGAAACAAAACATATTTTTTCATTGCGAATCATTGCCATCTTTACCGTCGTCATTAAGCTTAACACCACGTAACGCCTCCGCCGTTGTCACTCTGACGCCAACGGCCAATAAAGAATTGCAGGTGTATGAGCGTCATAGTGATGCGGTCTGGACAATTTAAAAAGCAATCTTTACCAGAAAAGTCTAAAGGAACTACATTGTAAAGTGTAAATAAAATTAAACATTCGCATCTTATAGACACATCGACGGATCACGACGTTCAGCAACCTTGTAGAGATGATTAGCAAGAACGATGTGACAACGTGGTTCAAGACGCTGGAGAGCTATAAAAGAATTGACACAATGTGTGCTTTACTGAATATATGTTTGCCGTTCGAACTGCGGTTTTTGGGCACTTGTCTTGAAGAGTTAGGTCGCCGCGATTCGCAAGAATTGCGCGGAATGGAATTAAGGGTTAACAAACCTCAAGATTTGGCTACAGATATAAATGTTTGCCAAAAGGGTGAGCCTACGGACATGAAAGTGCGCCGTAGAGTAGCTCTATGTCTGGCTTTGATGAGAGTCTGCAATCGCACCTGCGTTAATGAGATATTCCGCATTCTGGAGTCATGGGGTGAACTTGACTTTTCTTCGCTTACAGACAAGGATGTTTTGGAAGAATTGTTATTGGTTTATACAATGGCTGCTAATCATCCAGTATTTGATTTTGAGCAGCACATGAAATCTATGCAAATTTTTGAAAAAATTAAAGAAAATAAATTAGTAGCTGATTCATCATCATCCATGCCATCACCGCAAAGCGCTCATGTTTGCAATCCGCAACACTCTGCCAGTCATCTAGAGATGTCTATGGCGCAACATCAACACGTACCGCCACCTCCTCCTAATCATACAGAATTACTCCAACAGCATGCAGCTGCATTGCACGCGGCTACTATGCATTCAACTGGCCAGCATCCCCAATTGCTAGCTCCCAATCCCATGCAAATGGTGGGTCCAGCTACAATACCTTTGAGTTATCCACAAGGTCATTTAACTAAGGTAATTGTTAATTAAAATAATTTCGCGTATTATTGTATGTGCCATTTATGATTTTCTACGGTTTCATAGCTACTCAATGCAAGTGACGGTAGTTCTCTTCAACATCCGATTACCGTTGATGGCATGCCGCACATGATTTCCGCGAACCTCACCATTCCAGATACTAGCAATGCAGCCGCTAACACTATTTTAACACATCCTAATGTTGCCTCTTGGGCCATGAGGCAATATCACCCGGCCCCACCACCGGCGAGTACTCAAGTTTTGGTGGATCATCCGCCACAATCGTCTTCGCCGATGCTCTCACAGCAGTCTTCACCATCTAGTAGCCGCACTGCTAGTCCTAATCGTACATCATCCTGTGACAGTAACATGTTACAAACACAAACGCAGCCACCACCACTAACATCTCAAACTAGTACCAGTTCTCGCAATATGCCACAGAGAATCGTTGCCTCTTCACTGAAAAATGTTCGACGTCCATCGGCCGAGACTACGCCACCGCCTGCGATGGGACAACAACAGCAACTGCTCACAAATGAATTAATCTTGCCTCAGAACATGAAACACATTTCAGAGGTAATTTTCTCACAAATATATAACAAAATACTTGAATCTATTGCAAGGATTAGTTGAACATTTAAGGAAACATTCTTTTCGTTTAGTTTGTGTGCAGAGACTTTGCATATTGCCTTCTTTTCTGTACCTGATAAAGACTTTTTCCGTAAGTCAGTCAGTAAATGTGAAATAAACGCTATTGTGCGAGAAGACGATTAGAAGTTGGAGCAGTTTTATAATACACGTTTAAATGCAAATATTACTAAAATTATTTATGAGTTTATTTTTCCCTACTAGCAACTTTGTATCGTCTTTATATAAACTTTTAATAGTGTTTCTTCAGTTTATCAAATCATATAAGAGCTTTAAACAAAGAAGTGAAATATACTTATGTGTATATAAAACGACTGTTCATTAGCGCCTTGTAGTTGAAATGAACGATTTTTCTCTTAGTACACTAAACTGGATGTAATAGAGACTCCGCGTTTATATATTTACTTGGCGGAAAATTTTTTTCCATTCTTTATTTTGAAAAATTCTAATTAAATTATGTTATCGTTTTCGATTTTTAATCATAGGGCGTTATGAACAATGAAAGTTCCAGCAATCAATTACAAAACTTAATACGTAATGGGTTTACCAGGGCTGCTAATCATCCTAGAATAAAAACTGGCAATTATATCCCTCCGCATCAACAACAACAACAGCAGTCGCCAATTAATCAGCAGCAACATTATCAGGGAGCTTTCAACGCTGTGAACGCTGGTTTGTCGTATGCCATGCAAAATATGTCCATATCAGATATGACAACCGCAGGTGGGGGACATCACAGTGTCGATGGTAATGTCATGATGAGTATGAATTCAAATAAAAGCACAGGCAGCGATTCTGGTAGTTCGATCGGATCATGTGGCGAAATATCGCCGCCCGAAACGCCTACGTTAATGATGAATTCTAATGCCACGACGAATCCGCCCGTGCTACGTGGAGATAATCAGGGACAACAGATGCCACAGCAACAACAACAACAGCAGCAGCCACAAAAACATCATCAGCCTTCGCAACTGAGTTATAATAAACAGATGAGTTTGTCGCGTTTAAACGGTAGAGCCGATAAATTGATGACCACGAATGCGCCTAATGTAGCGGCAGTTGCCGGTGTTGGTGGCAATGTAGTTAATGCAAATGCCATGATATATGCTCAGCAGCAGCAGCAACAGCAACAAGTTCATCAACAAGCCCCAGCACCGCAAGCTTTGTACGCCGATATACTATTAGCTTCAGGTGGCAATGCGGGAAGTACTACCGTGATGCAGCAATCTTCGTTGACTAATAGCAACGGCGGGGGCAATGGAAACCCGAATGCAAATGTTGTCTCCACTAATAATAATATGCTGGGCAGCAATACAGTACTGATAAGTACACCGTCTTCTGGTGCTGCTAACTTGGGTGGTGTAATAACCTCAAATTCCGTGATATTGTCTCATCAACAGCAATATAATACCACGTATCCATACCATGCGGCAGCGGCTGCTGCTCAACATTTAGCTGCGAGTTCAGCAAGGCCTCCGCTGATGGCACATAATCCAACTTTGGCACCACCGCCGCATGGTACCTTTCGTTTACCTGGTTTCCAGATACCCAATGGGGAACTTATTTATCAGACTTACCATCCAGCGGGGGGCATCACATTTCTGTCCGGTGCTGCTCCACCCGGTGTACCACCAGCCGCCCTGAGAACGACAAATAGCGGAGCTGCCGTGGTAAGCAGTCAACCTATTAACCAGCCACCTGTACCTCAACAAATACCACCATCATTACCACAACAGTTGCAATCTACGCCGTCGGCTGCTGTGCTAGCGTCACCGTACAGCACGCTAACAATAGGACTTAGTAATAAACCATTATCATGTTATAATTGCGGCTCGCAATCCCACAGTGGTCGTGAATGCCAGGAAGCGTCCATGGATGATGTAACGCGAAGCGCTATCTATAAATTAGACTACAATCAGGCAGCGTCTGGGGCGGGCGCTGTAGGTGCAGTCACACCTGCCACGCAACAACAACAAATTGCCAACAGTGCGCCAGACACGTCAGCAACAGGGCACAGCCAAAAATCACACGATACTAGCGGTGCTATTGGTGTAAACCCATCGGTAGTAGCGACCGCGGCGGTCTCTTCAAATGCGACGCTGACCGTGACAGCGTCAACGTCAGCTAAGTGAGTTAGTGATTGTAGAACCGGCTTGTTAAAAAGCTTTGTATGTGTAGGATTTTTAATTGAATTAGGTTTATATTGAGAAACTCTGAGATTAAGCAATGCGTGACGCATATTAAGTGAACAGTGAAAAAAGGAAACCATATTGAAAATATGAGCGAATCAAAGCGCCTCGGTAGCCATTACTTAGGTACTTTTTTTAGATAAAAGTGGGAGAAGTGTGGTATCATCTGTGGGTCATGATGGAGAAAGCGATACTTTTGTGATTTACTCCTGTCAAAACTTTATGATTTAATTATTATGCTTTTAAAGACTGAAATAAGAATATAATAACAGATGAATGTTGTTAAGTATGCAAAGTTGAGCGGGAAGTCAATTTACACGCAGCATATTCTATAGACGATAAACTTTATGTCACCAGAATATCGCTATAATAATAATAATAATAATAGCGGTAAGCAATACGTTCTCGCATGCAGCAGGACGTACAAAAAAATTGTCTCAATATGAGATTTTAAATTTAAAAATTTATCGCATGAAGCCATGGGTATGGGAATTACACATAATGGAGAGAATACCAAGTAAAGTCATATAGATATTGAATTTTCTTAGCGTCACTTTACCGCAATTTACCTATTAAAAAAAAAAAAAAGGGGGGGGGGGGGGGGGGACATAAAGGGCACGGTAATGATGATAGTACGCAAGATACGCACAGAGACATTTTGTAAGTAACCATGGCTGATATAGTTTTTGCATTTTTTTTTTTTTTTTTTTTTTTTTTTTTTTTTTTTTTTTTTTTTTTGTAAATAATTTATTAAGCTATTTACTTTATTGGTTTTCTATTCTTAACGGAGGCTTGTAGGCAATTGAAAAGTTAAAATTTCTTTTTTTTGCAAAGGTTCAAAAATAGAAATGATAATTATAATATTTTTTTTTAAATATTATGGTATTTAGTAAATAAAGGCAAACATATTTCTAATATAATTTTTTCTATATTGAAATAATACAAAATTTTAAATTATTTAAAATTGATAAAAAGAGAAAACTTGAAGAGAATGTGTCCGGCAATCTCTATGGATTTTTCGTACTTTTTCCTTCCCATAAGCGCGTTTCAACTCTCCTTAAAATCAATCGCGATACACTATAAGAATACCTGCTGTTGTAATTTGATTTGCGATCTCGCCAAAGTGCATCAATGAAGTAAAAATGCCTCAAGGGCGCCATGAGTAATATTATCATTAATTAATTAATCATTAATTAATCTCTTAATGGATTGGGTGCTATATGCTATCGGCTGTTGATAACCTATTCCAAATACAAAATAAATTGACGAAATGTGACATTGCACATATTGCTATATTCGCTGTTTCGCAATTCTGTTACAAAAATTCTTTTCATATCATGGTTGCGTTTATATGAACGGAATCTAAAGTTTTTAGAATTAGGAAAATGGAACCAAGCAGAGACAAGGCAACTACTGAAATAGTAAGAAAACCACGTTCCACTGAAATTTCTATCTCTTGATTGGCCGATACTCGTGACTAATAAAATCTTGGACAAACTAATTGTTCTATCGTTTTGAAATTTAAAGATGACATTATTGTGTTCTGTATCGCTTTGAACAATTCTGCTCAACTATTACCATATTTCTCTCACTCAGAAATTGCTTTGTTTTAAATAAGCTTTCATATTAACATTTCGAAAACCTTGCATATTTTTTTAAAAAAGTTTTCGACTAAGAATTTATTCAATTTCTTTGTGTCTATATTCATTGTCATTTGTTTTTTTTTTCTGATTTTCTTTAATTAGAAATATTAAGATTATTTTAAAGAATAATTCAGATTGGCGGAAATCAAATTTCACGCTTTGTTTAGTAAGTAAGGATTAAAACTAAAGTGTAGTAGTAATATTTTTTATTATTATTATATTATTTTATTATGATCATTAGCAAAAAGGATGGTTAAACTATGAAAAAGTAAATTGTATATTTCCTCTTTAATGTTTAAAGACTAAAGAAAAAAAAAAAAAAAATAAATAAATAAAGAAATGATCAAAAAAACTAATGAAAAATAAAAAGCGAAAATTATTAATTAGAACAATGAGAATTCAACATAAATTTATATAGGAAAACCATATATTTATATATATACTTAGGAAAGAGAAAAACAAAAGGAATACTTTTCTGTATGTTTAATAAATAAATAATAAAAAAGCAAGAAACGGAAATAAGCCATAAATGAAAAAAAAAAAAAAAACAAATCGAGAAACAATAGACAAAAATAATTGTATTTCTTAAATAAATATTTATGAAAAAAAAAAGATGAAAAAAAGATATCAGCCACAGCTTCTTTCCTTCGTTCTCCCGTTAAAATATACACATTTCCAAAATTCCAATTACAAATATCTCCCTTATTTTTTTATTATTCATCTAATTTATTTGAACTTATTTATTATAAGTAACTTTTTAAATAAATTATTTTACATGTAATTTTTTTTTTTCTTTTCTCATAAATATAAATTTAAAAACATATGGTCCAAGTTGATCAAGTTTCAAATATGTATTTATACCTTTACGTATATATGATTATAAGTATATGTATATATATTGACAGCGCCATCCACATTATATACATACATGAATAAATGCATACAATTTCATAAAACTAATAATTAGAAAGCAAGCAAGCAAAAAAAAAAAATAAAAAAAATAAAAAAAAAAAAATAAAGAAAAACCTTTATATTTACAAAAACTAAACAAGAATTATCTTCACCTTTAAGACACTTTAAGCTCATACTAATCGCAATGTGTAGTTCGCTTCACAATTATCCGTTGTCTACTTTCACTTCACTTAAAACACCGAGTCTATCATACATTACAAAAACAAAATGTTATCTATATACACTTGTAAAAGAATATGTATCCATATACATATACAAAAAGTTTGAATTTCCAACAAAAAATAAAACGTAAACACTATCAGGATAAAGTTAAAATTTTGGATTGAATCCGAATCCGAATCTTATTCCCATGTTACTTGTGTATAAAAATAATACTTGCATCTTTTTAAGGTGTTCAGGGCCCATCTGCGCTTTAATTAATTGCACTATAAGCGTAACTATGGAAAGAGTTCGATGAGTCCAGCACTTCACGTTGACAATTCTGGACCTATTATGACATTTGAGAGTTATTACTATTGTTAAACTGTGTAATGTTTGTCAGTGTTACAATGGAGACCAATGCGCGATTCGCTTGTTGCCGCAAGCGCAAGTAATACGCTTTCTTAGTTTTAGAGAGCATTCTGGAGTTTGTCTAGCACTACAACTTATTCACGTCAAACCGTTTCATCAAATTTCAAGCATATTCACTGATTAATCATGCTCATGTTGTCAATTTTTATAGAGTAAAATAATTATATAGAGTAAAATACCTTACGCCTTACACCTATTCCTAATTAGCGTAGGCCTCGGCGTTTTTGCCCTCCTTTCCTTTTCATCCTTCTTGCTTGTCGTGTGAATTCAAAAGAGTACACGAATGTTTTTCTATCAAATCAGCTAACTAGATGTATGTTTCGGTTTGGCCCACAATTACATAAGACCCGGTAATGTTCGCCTTTTTCATAAATTATAATTTTTACGTAAAAGAGATTTTAGTTAATAGCCGGGTTTTGAATATTTACAGAGATCTTACGCTGATTAAGAATACATATGCTTTAAAGATTATAATTATTATATTATTAATATTATATAACATAACTAAATGAATTATTTATTATTTCATACATTTATCGTTCCGAATATATTGAAATAACTGCGAGCTATTGAAAACATTGAAGATGAAGAATAGCGAGGATAAATTCTCTAACTCGTTACGATTTTGCGCTTCCTTCACTTTCATGCATTTACGTAGACCACCCGAAGCCAATAGAATTCCAGTCAACTCTGGTAAAATGATCAGTGTGAGATTTAAAGGTAGCGACAAGTTTTTTTCCTGTGAAATTACTTTAAATCCCAAATATGAAGAAAGGCTTAGGCTTTTGAGTCAATTTTCTAACTTGTGAATACATTTTCAGTTTGTGAATTCATTTTTTAGCTTATGAATTCGATTTTCGGCTTATGAATCCATTTTTGGCTTATGAATCGATTTTTTAGCTTATGAATCCATTTTCAGTTCAGAGCAATTCAAATATAGTTCCCATCCATATGAGTGTCAAAAAAAGCGCACGTCTAGGCTATTTGATGTCAGAGATTCTTGCTTTTTATATTAATTCCCATTATCGGTAATGATTTTCATTTATTTATTGTCAATAAGTTTACAAACTAAAGATTTAAAGCCTGCCAGATAACTTAGATTATATGTTCGCCTGTATTGAAAATTATACCGGACGTGAGATTTGAAACCGCAATCATTGAGCTTTTGACATTTATCATATATTTCGATAAATCAGATAACTTTTGAATACTTTTTCTTCTTCTTTAAATCTAAATGCGGATGATCGGTTGTCAAAATTTTTCGAGAAATTTTCTTATATTGAAATATTTTTCGTTTTCATCCGCATATGTTTTGAAACGAAAATGTAATGATTATAAATGACATATCAAGCAAATGCAATACAAAGTTGAAGCGAACAAATAGACTTTAAAAATTTTCCATAGTTCTTTACTTTACCAACTTATATATATTACTATACTATATTTATTAATTTATAAGTGATAACAACTTCTCCTTGAAGTGAAGTTACATGTGAAGAAGAAAACTTTACTTCAATCAGATATACTAACCTTTTCTTTAGGCAAAAAGTTGAATTGTTTTGATTAACTAAAGACTGCGAATCAATGTTTGTTCATATATCTGCTTAAAAAAGCAAGTCAAGGACACACCAGCTATAAACTTCATATCCTGTGCTATAGAACGTCGCTTGAAGCCAAATGTATGCCATTGTTATTGGGATGAAGGTGTTAGTTCCTCTTCGTACTTTTTGTTTACAGCGTTCACGACCAAAAAACGTCGTTTCTTTTGTTATACTCAGAGATAGATAGGCGCCGTGTATGTATACATTTATATGCTTGAGTTCTTTTTAATAATTCCCAAGTTTTAATTCCGCCTTACATGTCCTTTCATTTATACGATTGTTGCTGAGGATTTCAAAATTGCAATCTTCCCATCTATACTGTATAATAATAAAGATTTCATTAAGCGCTCGCGAAAAATGTTGAAAACCATTTTTTCTTTTTCGCCAAAATTAAATAAAGATTTTTTCTTTTTTACTTTTGAAGCGTTTTTTTTTTTTTTTTTTTTTCAATTTTTAAGAATTTTAAAAATAAAACAATTGTTACTAATGTTAGTAATGAAAATTATATGATGTGTAAGATATTTACTAATCTATAAAAAGCCCAAAACTTATATTATAAATAGAGCGGATAATATAGATAAAGAAGATTGTAGAAAAATAATTATTATATAAAAGATTTAAATATTAAGTAAGAGAATTTGGGAGAAAATATATTAGTTTAATATTACATTAAAAAAATGAAATAGAAACAAAAAAAATAAAAAAAAAAAAAAATATGAATGCCAGGTAAATATAAAAAGGAGATAAATATTTATAATGTTAAATGAAAGAAAAAAAGAAAATAAACTAAGTTACATTAAGTTAAATAAAAGGTACGTTGTCTTTTTTTCAAAGCGGCTTAATAAACGTTCGTGTGCTTTGCCTATGTATATATATATGTGTATATATTTGTATATGTATATATAGATATATGTACATGTATAAGCGAAAAAATGCAATAAATACAAATTAAGGAAGTGGCGCAGGATGGCATTGCACTTGACTTGTATAAATAATGGTTTAGAAGGTAAGCGACCTCCTCGTCCCCAACGTTATACAACGGGAACGGTATCAGCTGCGCTTCAATAATTAACGATCGGCAGTCTTTGGTGAGTATCGTGAAGGATCACATTACTTTTGTTGCGAACCTTTTTAAGGGGTTTTTGACTCGCCCTGATATTTATTTTCCGTTGGGTTATGCAACTTACGTTTAATAAATGAATGATGGGACGTGACGAAAGTTCTAGCAATTTTGTCATTATTGCCGCAAAACTTATCTAAATACAGCAAAAGGATATCGACTAATTTGTCTAGCACTAGCAAGCCACAAGCAAGATCAGTTAGTGAATTACTTCATGATATTTATGGATTTCACCATACCTACGTAATAGTGAAATCTTCACCTTCCTTCAAAATTTTGTCTGTTGAATAATTTTGCACACGTTACTGTCTTCGTCTTTATCATAATTTCTTCCCAAGTGTATTATTATTATTATTATCATTATATATATTATGAGGAGATATTGTGTTAACGAGACCTTGGGTCGAAAAATCAAATAAACAATACCATCATTAAGGAAGCGGTTGTTATGCTGGTTGACAATTTAATACCGGTATGAGTATTAAATCCTACCCGTGTTAAAACAAAGCTCTACAAAGATGGGAGTATAAAAGTGTCGCAAAAAACCTAATTTGTGGTAGACCGTGGAGAAAAAGTGCGAAAGTCAAGTTCAGTTTGCAAATCTATTGGAAGCGTGAGCAAGAAAAAATGTATGTCAGAGTGTTTCTGCAAGCAATTTGATGCAATCTTTATAGATCCGGAAAATTCACGTGGCTGCACTCCAAAACGCAAAGCATACTGTTAACATTGCAAGAGCTAAACCATTATTACGGCAGCCTAGAAGACTCTCATTAGCGGAAAGAGGAGAAGGGCTTAACAATTACTAAAAGTATGCTTCGAATTTACTTTATTGAAGTTCTTTTCTTGTAGAAAACACTTTGATTTTATTTGCTTTTTGTGTTTGCGTATTAAAAGAACACCAATGAACTTTTACTAAGAAGCAGTATTTTGCAAATGAAACTTAGTTCCTGCGATCATCGAACATGAACAAATTGCACGTGTTTCGTACGCATATTCAAAGCAAGCATAATTATTAGGTGGTTGCGTATATTTTGATCAGTGACATCTATTGGCGGCAACGAGAACGCGTTGCGAATAAAATAACAGATGTCTACCGATATCAATTGAACAAATTGAACGAGGGATTATTGTAAAAAAGATCAGCAAGCGTTATTAAGAGACGCAAACTGATGCTCTTGCATGATAAGGCTCGGCCATACGTTGTAAGAGCTGTCACGGCTGTACTATTGAGCTCGAATGGGAAGTTCTGCGGCATTGAGCTTTCTCACCAGACACAGCGCCTTCTGATTACCACTTGTGTAAATCGATGCAGCATGCATTGCTTGATTGGCATGCGGTATCGAAATGCTGACGAAGTGCGATGATTGGATTTCTGTCAAACCGATGTCGTTCTTTCGACACGATATCGCCATGTTGTCAGGAAGATGAGAAAAAGTTGTAGAAAGTGAAAATATTTTGTTTAATAATAAACACTGTGCACTGCGCCAATTTTTCTCAAAGTTTTTCAAGTGAAAAAATGATCACAACTCATGCAAACACTTAATTATCTAACGCATGTCATTAACATGTTTGCAAAATTATTGTTTAAGTTTTCTGACTCGTAAGATTATGTCAGTGTAAAGAGTTCAATTTTAATTATCTTATGAGAGTTTACTTAATAAATGTTATGCACATGTATGTCAGAAACCTTTCCGGTCAAGTTATTTACAATTACATAATTTTTACATCAAAACTTGAGCTGTTGAATATTCTTCTTAGATATTAAATGGTTTGTCTATGATATAATATTCTTATCATTAGAAAATGAATTGCGGAACAAGTAAAAACGTTATAGTCGGCCGCGGCTTAGCACTAAATACCCTACATCACTTCACTTAATATAACTATGCATATAACGATTTTTCAAAATAAAGCGTTATATGGGAAGTGGTGGAACAAGTAGTTCGATCCGAACCATTTTCAATAATGTTCATCACAATATTTTATAAACCGTGACCTGTAAGTTGATCACAAGAAAACAGCCAGATACATGAACTTAGATCGATCTGTATAAAAAAAGTTATGCTTATCTCAAGTCTATCTGGGCGCTGAGTATATCGTACAAATTTAACATACCCGATATCACAAGTGATGTAAAAGTTCTAAGTTCTACTTCTTGATTGACATTCGTCGTCAGATGCGCAAGAACATATTGCCACATGTATGTGCCACCCTATTGCTAAATATTGGAAACGTTGAGCCAGAAAGCATAACGATATGTAAAACTTGGTGTATTACTCCTTAAAGTCAATCGAATGAAACAAAGTCAAGAGAATCCAAATTGTCATATATGTTTCGGATCCATCTCGCCTACGGCTGGCATATTTTCCAAAGTCATCCGAAAATTCAAGATGCAATACATCGATTGCGTGCCTGTGATCTTATCAGTGGATCAAAAGTAAATCAAGAATTCTGCTTCACGGCAGCAAGCATCGTAGATTCATCGAAAAGCAAATAGGGATTTCTTGTTACATATTAACTAAGCAATTTGATTTCAAAATTCATTGATAAACAACAGTTATTATTAATTTTGACTCTAATCCCTTCAAACTTTATTGTAAAAAAAAAAAAAAAAAAATAATAATAAAGAAGAAAACAAAAGCAAAAAAAAAAAAAAAACAGAAGCCAAACTTACTCAACTTGCTGAACTCTCAACAGCACAATACAATGAAGTTTGATAGTACCGTGAAGAGCTGACAGCAAAACAGTAATGCACACATTTTAACATGTGTATTTCAAGTATTTAAAGCAAGTACGTGAGTGTGGCAAGAAAACAGCAAGTGCAGGTAATGATAATAATGAAAATAATGACGATAATCATGATAATGATGACGATAATAATGACGACGATCTAAAGACGGTAATGGTGACTTCTTTTACTATAAGCGAAAAAATCTTTGAGGCGTAACATGTTAACTTTTGAAGTTATTTTTAGTTCAAATTTGTCTGCGTTCAGTTAAAGACGTATTCATAGCTATAGAAAAACAAAAAAAAAAAAAAAAAAATGTAAAAATAATATATGAAAATCCAAAATGTATTTATATAAAAATCCAAATAAAACATTTTTCAAATAAAAATTACAAAATCATAATTTGAAAAACGTATTCAAATTACTTTAAACGTTTTCCAATTCACTTCTACAATAATAAATAATTCACTTCATCTGAAGGATTATTCAAGCGTAACAATTACGAGATAATAATTTTATGCAAAACATACTTCAATAGTGAAGATCATAGGCAAAATCAAACCGAGCATTGTTCGAGTTATAACACAAAAAAAAAAAAAAAAAAAAAAAAAAAAAACAAAAAGGAAAAGGAAAAAAGCAGTAAAACTCTCGATTATGTTTAAGGCCACGAAACTTTTAAAGAAATCCTCACAAAGTTTCTACAAAACGAAATTAGAAATGAAATCGAATGAGAAGAATGAGCCAGAAAATGAACGTGAATTAGTTGCAGCAACAACTGTGGAGGTTAATAATTCCGAACCTTTAAAACAATTTAGTTTAAAAGGAAATCAATTAAGCGGCAGTATATTAATTGGAAATTATACTGTAAGTAACAAAATGTATGTAACACTATTAGTATGAAACCGCTATTTGTGTCAATACTAATCTTCCGTTCTACAAATCGTATCAACAGTTTCTCCTCGCTATATGTAATTATGTAATTGTATTGCGCGCAAGCGTAAATGTTTGTTACTCACTGCAAAAATGCAAAAAAAAAAAAAAAAAAAAAAAAAAGAAAAAAGCTGTTATTTATAATTGGAGTATACACATGCTATCTAATAAGAACGTAAGAAGGTTTTGTTATTCTCCAATTCCAACTAACTCATATAACAACAACATGGTAAACAAAAGATTTTCATATTTTTTTTTCTTCTTCTTCACATTTCACGTTTCATAATAATTTTAAAAATTTATGCACAGCAATAGTAGGTAGGTAGTAGCAGTAGCAGTTTCTTAAGCCAGGGATATCTTCAATGTAAATAAAAGTTTGTGTTAGGTTGTGTCAAAACAAATAAATTTTAATATAATAAAGACAAAGTATTTTATTTTATTTAGGGAGACTGTCTTACTTGACGACCGGTCAGGACAATAATTTTTTTTTTTAATTATTAAGCTTTGTGATTATTAATTGTTTATATATGCGTTAAGCGTTAATTTTGTTGATTCAATTCTTGCCAATTTGATGGTTGAAAGAGTAGGGGAAAGTTAAGTATATGAAGGTTTCTTTTTAAAATCTTTCAAAAATATATATGCAGATAATTTTGTGCTTTCTCGATACATTCCATATTGATGCATTCATTTTTGTGCTCTCGCATGAGACAAACTCAATGTAATGACAAAGCGTAAGAGAGATTACATTCGCCTCGGACTCTACTTTTATATAGCTATCTCGCATTTGTTTTTATATGCACTTATGCACGAGCACTGCTTTTATCAAGTTTGTCAAACGTTTGTAACGCATACAAGTAGTCAATGAAACTCCAAAAAGTGTACACGAAACTTGCTCTTTCGTCTCTTAGAAGGATAGCATTGATCTTAAAACTTGCCTTGTCCTTATCATGTATTGCATAAGTCAACGTATCAAGTAAATCAAGCTGAGAGCTTGCGTTCACAATTGGTAACAATTCCCTTTTTGACATATTACGATAGTCAGCAATTACACAAGAATTTCGCATATCATAGAGGAGTTGAGGCATGAGATACTTGCAGCTGAAAACAATAATTAAAAAGTGGCCATAATTCGTCCACAATCACGTTCACAGGTATTTATGTGGCAACCGGGACAGACATTTAGGAGGATCATATATATATACAGATTAAACAAAGCAAATGAATTAATTCTCTTACAAGCAGGTTTATAATGTAGAATAGCTATCGAACCAGCATTTAGAGTAGGCATGGGCAACCGCTAGCCCGTTGATCGGATCTGGCCTATCATGTCATCGTATCCGGGCAGCTACGTCTAAAGCTTCAGATAATTCAATTTACTCGCAAATACCAATGCTGCAAATGAGTTCTAGTTTCACTACCTGCTCAGCTACCGGCTCAGCTCAGAAGTTATCAAATGTGAAATGTGTTTTTTTTTCTACTCATTAAGCCATAAAAAGGAGAAAGATTGATGCAGAATACCGCATTCTTAATAATAGCTATACTCTGCTGTGATCCCCGCCGTGATATGGAAATTAAGATGGGGCAGTTAATGGAAAAAGTTGCTCATCCCTGACTTAGAGCCAACTAAAACGCCAGTAAATAATGGACACACATGTTTAAGTTCCATTTTTTGTACAGTATACGTGGACCTTTTTATCGTGTGTCTATTGAGTGTGTACGCCATAGGTTTATTTTTCGACCGATTTGGCTCGCCTTCAGCATCGACCTGCTTGCGATATTATACAGATAAGCAGAGGGATTGACAGACTGATTGACGAACAGATGGACATTTCTATGTGGCTTCCGAACTTGGTACATGTCCACAGTAAATATATATACATATGTATTATGTGGAGTCGCTGAAGTTTTCCTCTCGATGTTGCAAACGTTTTGACAAAACAGATGTGGCCCCATCCTTTGGTAGTGGGAAGAGTAACGCAGAGTTAATAAATCATAACATAATATATCAGAAAGGTGAACAGAAGAGTTTAAGGGAAAGTTTTTACACTTCTTCAGAATTTGCTCAATAATTTGCTCATCGGTAGTGACTTCACATTGCACTTAATTACAGTTTATTCATGACGTTCTAATGTGCATTAGAATAAATTAGAAATGAACTTAAAAGTACAGTTTTTCTGTACAAGTTAGTAACCCGATCGGAAATGATTGGGATCAGGATGGGTTTCGGATACGTTTTCATTGTGTTTCTTCGAATTTAGCTCAGTTTCCAATTCATTGCAATCGTACATGTGGACATCTGCTAATCACATTTTCGCCTTTAGTCCAGTAAGAAATATGTATTTCCTTCTGACCTTCACTTTCTTTTCTTTATCCTTATGGGTGTTGGTTTATTGTGAGAGAGCAAAGTTATTCACGAAGGAGATCTTTTTGATCTCCAACAGCAACGATGTTGCTTCGGACTTAAATAAGGAACGCCGAAGAGATTTTAATTTTTGGAATCCTGTTGACGTTAGCGGCCATATTTCCTTATAGGGAAAAAACCCGATTCTGTAAATGTGCCATAAAATTTGATTTCGAAGCGCATATAGTGAAGGCCAAGTATTTACTATGATTGGTTGGACTTAAGTTTAATAATGCACCCATTTATTTGACTACAGAGCACCTGTAGTTTACATGATTCCATTAGAATATACGGTCTTTCGTTGTCATACTTAGAAAGAATTTTGTACGGAGAAGACTTTCATCACGTCGTGTGGCTTTTTCAGGAATGTGTTTACCGCTTGATAATTAAGAATAAAGGATTATTTGTAGTTTCCTCCTGGCTGTGTTGCCTTCTGCTTGGTGGGCCAGTTACCGTGTGTTTAAAATATTTTTCACAGAAGGCTTGCGGATTCTCAATAACATCGAGGCTCGAAATTTAGTTTAGAGGAAGAACAAAGATTTGTAATAAAGAAGAGGTGTTAGTGAAAGTTTTTAATTTTTATGTTGGTTTTACAGCTCTCTCCATAAAGAATACAACTGTGTTGGTTTTTATACCCGACACTAACTGCGGCGCAAGGTGCATACAATACCCAGAAAGATTTGTCCCATCTTTTATTATACCGAGAGTAATTGCACATAGATTGATTTTGAATTGATTTACGTTTGTCTGTCTATCCGTCCATTTTGTTTTTTGTGTTCAACCTACAATTCGAAAAATTTGATATGCCTTGATGAACGTTATTAAAATTGGTTCAAATCGGACAACTTTTACGACCACTTGCCTTATTTTGAAAAGTTGTTATATGATTAACTGTAGAGTGTTGGAGGGTATTTAATAGTTGGTCGTGCTCCATTATAGTGTTCTTAGCTTTTTTTGGAATAAATTTTAATATTTTCAAGAGAAATTTTTGATTTTTAGAACAAGGCGGAAAAATATCTGACTACAAAACTATAGTTGCTTGCTTAGAACAAGCCGAGATAGTTGAGTTCTGAGCGTAGCTTGATAAAAGTAAGAAACATAAAGTATAAGTTTCTTAGGTAAAGTCTTGATACGACGGTAACAGATAAACAATGATTTCTGTTATTCACAATACTCAGGAGTATTTTATGTGATCGCTTTAAATGAGCATGCATTTGGTAGTGGCTTGTAAAATCGAAAAAAACCTGGGTATAAAAGTTTACGTACATATTTTCAAGCTTAGAACGCTTTAATTTATTTTTCTCTCGTTTCTTTTACAATTTTTCTTTAAGTACTTGACCCAATTGGAAGTGAGTGAAAATGAAATGGAAGTATTGGATTTAAGTTCTTTAGCGCAATTGGAGACTTTAAAGTGCAGTCATAATAAATTAACGGAACTAATGATAAATGGCAACAATTTAGTTTCTTTACAAGCCGACAGCAATTGTAAGCATAACGAAGTATACAACATTTTTGCACAATTATGATCTTTATAAATAATTTCAAATTTATTTTTAGGTCTTCAACAAATTTCTGCTTCTCCCGTGCCCCAGAAACTCTGCCAAGTGAACATTTCGAATAATTATTTTACAGAATTACCGAAATGGCTGAACGAATGTGAACGTTTAGAAAATCTAAATGCCAGTCATAATCAATTACAAAAAATTACTGATTTTATTTTGACTAGTAAAACGTCTGCCCTAAAATCTCTCAATTTGTCTTATAATCGTTTACGGATAATTGAAAGATTATCGGGACGATTCGTCACGTTACAATCATTGCAATTACAGAGCAATGAACTGCAATTGTTAACCGATAATTTGTTCTCAATAACGTATAAATGCTTGAAGGAATTAAATATATCATGCAATAAATTGCAAGTTCTTCCCCCATCATCAGTTGAGACGGCGACGAATGATGAAAATGCAGTTATGGTGCTTGAAGACCTGAGGATTTCGAACAACAGTCTCGATGATCGAATATTTGCGACTTTATTTCGCGCCAAACGCTTGAAAGTACTCCACGTAGCTTATAATAAAATTTCTACAATACCTGCAGATTTCCTAGACACTTGCAGCAGTTTGGAGGAATTAATGTTATCGGGTAATTTGTTGCAACAATTACCTGACGAAATAAGTAAACTTAAATACTTGGAAGTGTTAAGGTTACATTCGAATCTATTGTTATCTATTCCCTCTTTAAATCAAATTTCGATGTTAAAAGTCTTAGATTTGGCTCACAATCATTTAAATCATTTGGATCTATTGAGTGTACTGCCCAGAAATTTAAAATATTTGGATTTATCATGCAATTTCCAATTGCAAGTAGACGAACAGCAAGTGAAAATATGCCGCAATCAACGAAAATGGAGTTTGATAGATGTAACTGGGAAAAATCGCTCCAATTTACCAATCAATGGTCAAACGGAGCAAAGAGAATATAACTCTGCACAGAAACCCCCTTGGTTAATAGGCTTCTCAGAAACTCCTGGCAAATGTCGGAAACTCTTGGTAGCGCAATTAAGGGAAATGAAATTTCGTACGGACGAAGCCTTGTTGGGCATGTTTGCGATTGATGTGCCGGCATCAGGCTCTGCCACAAAAATGGCTCATATTATACCGAAGTTATTTCAACAGGAACGTTCAATTAAGGATAACATAGGCCAGTATATGAAGTACACTTTGCTGGCTCTGCAAAAGAAATTAAACAATCAATCTATAGCAGATGCTATACTTTGCCATATAGCCCGCGAGAATGCGCGAGGCAAGGATTTTGTAAGGTCACATAAAACCAAACGCTACATGCTTCGTGTAGCTAGCATAGGTGAAATTTCAGCCTATTTGATACGTCGCACAACCAATTTTCAACTCATTAATCAAGCCCAAGAAGGTTGCATACTTTCTTCCACAAAAACTTTACCGGATCCGACTGTAACTGAGTGTATCCTTAATAACGATGATGAGTATCTCGTGATCGGAAATGCCAATTTATGGTCAGTTATGGATGTTGACCGAGTAGCTCGGGAAATACGTAAAGAAGAAAATGTCATATTGGCTGCAAAAAGAATGCAAGATATCGCGCAAAGTTTTGGTGTCAAAGGCAATCTCAGCATTATTGTAGTACGTTTCAAGAATATAGGCACCGATGTCGATTTTCTGATCAAAGAGTTAAAGCAAATTGTTAGAAAAAAGCCTCAACCTTTAAATCTCAGCAATAGCACTTCTGGATTCCCTAATGTTTGTAAGAGGACTTGTTGCGATCGTAGTTTAACATGCAGACATCGTTTCAGTGCGATACGTCCTTTGGTCGGTTTCGGTGCACGCAGCGATCGTTCTTCACCAAGTGGTCAAAGCGATCCACCTTTAAGTGTAGTTAATCAGAAATTGGAAAACGATGGCGAGTACATTTTGGCTCATGCTCGCGTCTTAGAAGAAACTACAGAAATGGAAATGTTAGATGAAACTGACTCAGCCCTCTCGGAAGAACAATTCAAATGCTGGGAATATATGTTAGAGCAAAATACTCAGCTATTATTTGATAAGGAATTGAATACCATCTCGAAAACTTTCACGAAAAATCGCAATGCAATAGATCGGAAAATTAATAAAACTCCGGAACGTTTCGACTTGAAATCCAGCCTCTTAAAATCTAACAATCAAAAATTCATATCGACTAGTTCGCCTCAGCTTTTGCATACAGAAGCGAAAAAACCGTATGGCACAAGTTCATATGCTTTCCAAACTAATAATGTTCATAATTATCATCAGCCCTCATTCCTGTCAAAACATTTCGGAAGTTCACGTTCTTTTGGTGCTGGATATAATTTATTTTCGGATGGTAAAAGTCGTGATTCTTTAGGTGGCGGCGGCGGCGGCGGCTTGTCAAAATTTAGTGGTGGACCTAATGCTGCGTACTTTGGCTCTTTACAACGTCTGATGCCGTATAATTTGGAATATGATTTCAATTTGACCCGAGAACGTTCAGTTCATGATGAAGACGACGACGATGATTTTAACGAGCAAGAGAATCGTATACGTAAATATTGGGGTGTCGCTACCACCGAATTGTAACGGTAACTTAGGTGCTAAAAATAATGTAAATAAACCTTTGGGTTAATTTTAGATATAAGAGAATTTCAAATCCCAAGTGTTGTAGAGTTTCAATAATTCCGACAGCCTTAGATGCTAGTGCTTTAAGACTTTGTAATACTCTATATAATAAGAGAATTTCCTAACCCACATCAGTTGAATTGCAAGGATTTATTAGGTTTGGATGAATGTATACATCACCCGCAAGGATTGGAGTTAGGCTCATTTATTTTTGAATCGATCGATTCAGAAAGTGATCTAAACTTGCATATCTGTCTTTGCGTCTGTCCATCTGCTGTCTATCCATGTATGTTTTTGTTCAATCTAAAGATCGTACACTTTAAGATATTTTAATGAAATTTAGTGCATCGACGTGATTTCGTCTACTTCCTACATAAGCATGAGTAACTGCATAAAGAGACGCGGTGTAGGCCAATTGACGGCGCGCCGTGGCCGACTATAATGTTTTCACTTGTTTATAATCCATGAAAAACAAAAAAAAAAATTAATAAAACAAGTATGAATATTGTAGTTGGGCAAAGCCGACTATTCGATACCCTACAATACATCGTCTAATGCAGTTATTCAGTCGATTTGGTAATGACACACTAAAAATTACAAATTATTTTCATGCAAAGCCGTACTTTTCATGAAAGTTCGCATATTGGAGGAATCCTTATATGCGATGGTGTCCAAGAAAGTGGAACTACGTGCCCCAAATTCATTAGGGTTGATTTCTATATCAATTTACTATTATGAACTAATTTTCGGCATGAAATATTAAAAATTATATGTTTTTACTATGTAAAGGCTCAGAGAAGAAAGTTTTCTTTGCATTATAATTTAAACGCTCAGTTTTCATAGGAACGGCTATATGAGAGAGGGTTCATAAAATTTCCCCAGCTGAAGCAAATTTTCCATACTTGTTTCGAAGGTACGAATACTATTGCAGCGTGAGATTTGTCGAGAAATTTTGAAAATTGCAATTTTTTCCAAATGAAGACCTTTCAAAATAGTGTCTTATAGACGCAGTCGTCGAAAAATTGGACCGATCTAAATTTTATCAAACTATCTCAAGATTTACGACATATAGCTTCAACACAAATTTACATGGACAAAGATCAGGCGGACTGACAGGAAGCCCACAGACGGACAGACAGGCTTAGACTGATTTAGAAAATGATTCTGAATTAGTCGGTGGATCGGTCTTAACTCCTTCTGAGTGTTACATACGTCCGCATAAAAATTAATTAATTATCCTGTGCGTAGAGCATAAAAATCGAATTTAAACGAAAGCGTTAAAAACATTAATTTGTCAACGCAAAAATGGTCTAACGCGCGCTTCGACTGTTTAGGGAAATGATGATAAATAAATAATTAAAAGATATTTGCGTGATCCTGTTGCATGATGAATACGTGGTTATTAATGCTATAATGCTTAGAAATTTCAAAAAATGTGCAAAGAATGACTTTTCGAAATAGACGTTCATAGGGCTCTCTATAAGCTTCTGCAGAAGGAACATTTTTGACGATTAAAAATGTTTGGGTAAATCGCTTATACATTTTGCTTTACTCTATGTAAAGCTAAATGTTTTGTTTTGATTTGTTTTTGAGTAATTAGGAAGTGGAGCAACTAATGGATTGACCTAATAATCGACATACGTTGACATATTTTGCTGTAAATGTTATTTGATTTCAGGAAAAATTTATTATCGTAGAAACTTTTGTGTTATACATTACTGGGCATGGTGCTTAGGATATTTTTGACTTTATTTTGTAAATAAGTATTGTAAATAAGTGGAATTGCAAATGTTAAAAAATTTTCATTCATTCAAAGAAATGTATCACATACAAATTTAAAAAATGTTACGTATATTGTATGTATAAAGGCAACATGTACTTATACGTATTTGCATGAGAAATAATAAATAAAAATAAAAACATTAATAATTGATTTTTAGCAATAAGAAGGGAAATCTGTAAACAGGCGAATAAACTTATCTAACTATATGTACAAAGGCGTATGTGTTTGCATGCGTTTGCAAAGGCATGCTTTCATTTCACAGATTTTCAAAAACTTACACAGGCGTACAGATAAAAGTTTTAATATAAAAAAAATTAAACAAACGTATGTACTAATAAGCGTACATACGTACGCGATGTAAACTTAAAATGGAGCTTAAGTAAGCGCTTAAGCGGTTCACGTTTAAGAGATATCTAGAAAGAGCTTCCTGTTGAATTTTTTAGGGGGTAGTATGATAAGCGCAACGGCATAGAGAGTGAAGGAATCAAAGAGCGCGAGAGAGGCAAATGTTAGGAGAATAAGAGTGGTTGGAAATAATGTTAGAAAAAGCGCGACGGCGTTGGAATTTGTTATGCATGTACATATATGCGCACATGTGTATACGTCTATGAGCATATGGAACGTATATATATATATATAT